ACAGACCGTGAAGATAAACCCAACTCGTGTAACAAACTTCACCAGCTCGTCAGCACCGGCTGACGTGTCTCACCGGACGCTGAGCCGCCACGCCCAGCAGCCGTCCGGCCCTGCCGAGGCCGGAGTGTGACCCAGGGCAGCAGAGGAGGGCTGGCGGCGCTCCGAGAGCGAGCTGGCACGGTCTCCGGGGGCGGACTCAGGTGTGGCGCGGACACAGGCTGGGAAGTACGGTTAGCTCATCAGGGCGTCAGCCTGATGCCGTGACTAGTGTGGGCTGGGGAGGTTGAGGGCGGCTGCGTGGACGGTTTGGGATCGGTGAGCGAGGATGCTGGGGTGTTGTTCTTGTTGAAACTGCTGACGATGACCGATGAAAAGTTCCCACATATGCCAAATTTGTGCGAGATGTTGATTGTTTCCCTGAAACCTTGCTCGTTTTGAGCTGACACAGCTGACCTCGGCTGACCTGTTCTGTCATCTCAATCTACAAAGTGTAGATCCACTCAACCACCGCTACTTTCCGAGCCTTCTATCCAAGCCGCCTCCCGTCTGTCATCTTCCTTCTGTCGTCTGTCGTCTGCCGTCCCTGCTCCGTCAGCCGGCGTGTTTTGTCCGCGCGGCGTGTCGGCGTTCCCCGTCTGGCTGTGGTCTGGCTGAGGGCACCCGGCCCCTCGCCGTACTCACTACAGCGCTGCCGGGACTCTGTTTGTTGTCAGACGCTCCAGGCGGCCGTGTCAGGGGATATCGTAATGGGGCTGGGTCAGTCGGCGCACGTGCTCTCGGAAGACCACGAAGGGTGTGTCTTCTACCGCTGAGGTAGCATAGTTTTGGGAATGGGAAAGAACGTCGTCCGTCGATGTGACGAACCGTCACAGACGACGCCGCGCTGGCCCGCACTGATGTGTGACATGTGTGTCCAGATGTTATCGCGAGTCGGCGGTCTGTCATACGGCGGAGACTGGCTCCAGTTCGGGCTACAGGCGGGCGTGTTTTTCGTCTGGAAAAATTCCATTGTTTTGTTGGCCGACGGCGGTGCTTTGAAGCCGTTTGTACGGCCAGCGGCTCTCGACTTCGCTCATTACGCGCGTGCCTGGCGCCTAATGTGCTATTGTTGTGAGCAATCTTGTGCGTTGATTTCCGTGTTGTTCCTTCCCGGCGTCGGGTCGGCCTCCAAATAACATCAGCGAGCTCTTGGCGTACTGGAGCGACCCTCAGCGGCACGGCTGATCCTCAGATCAACCGTCAGCGGTCCGGCTGATCCCCTTAGCGGTCCCTCATCCACAGGCAAGGTCACGCACCTTCGCACCGGCTCTCCGATAGCCGCTGTCTGTATCTACTTGCCGGCTGTAGTACTGACTACCCCGACACGTCCCGGTTGCAATGCGTATGATAATGCGCCGCTCGCCGCCGACCGGTCACATAAACATGTTCATCGTTCGCCGCCGGTCCGGTCGCGGCCGGCCATCACTTGCGGCTGGTGTGAACGGACGCGGCGGCAGACAGAGGCGACACCAGCTGTGCGGAGGACCGGTGCACAGCCCGCGCCGCCACCGCCGCCGCGCCGCTGGTCCCGCCGTGCAGTCTGTCGGACGAGCTCAGCCGTCCCGACGACGGCGGAGCGGGTGGAGTGTGCTGGATATTCTGAGAGATACCGGACGTTCCAACCATCTGAGCTGCCCGGCGGCGCAGTGGGATGGGTGGTGGACGTGGAAGGCTGTCCCTTGAAGCCAAGGAAACAGTGAACAAGACTCTGGTTTAGATATCGAGGCATTGTGCCCTCGCGCGGAAGGAACTCCGTGATGTTGTAACACCGCGGGGAAAGACCTCGTGATTTCTCGCTGGGCTTCGGTCGGTGTTTGCGGTGAGACGGCGGACGGTGCGGTGGTTGCGGCCGGCGCCGTCCGTCCCTCCGTCCGTCCGTCGGCCGGTCGCACATCCGTCGACCGTGGCCTCTGACCGGCAGTCAGGGTCACCCGGCGGGGACGGGCAGGGGTGCCGGCTCCTCCCTCCAGCAGTCCGGGATGAGCGTCGCGACCTAAGCCGGAAATGACGGAGACCCGGAGATGGCCGGAGGTGCCAGGTGATCGGGTGCCTCGTAGGTGGAGGCTGGAATTGACCGCGGACTCATATCTCTACTGGCGCTAATGTAAGTGGTGCGGTGGCGTCAGGGTGCAACGTAATGGTTGTGGATTACGTAAGCCGATATGATTTAATGTCGGCTCTTTGCATCCTTGGCATTGCTGACATTTATTCGTGCTGTTCTTTCGCAATCCAGATGGAAACATGCGCGTCTCAGTGACGTAAAGCCTGTTTGTTCAATTCCAGCGCAGCTTTATTTCGCTGGATGACTGACAATTTTAGCGGCGATCTTTTCGGTCTGGTGGGCGGCTCTGGGCCGGTACAGTCGAGTGACGTGGTCTGTCAGTGGCCAGGCGGGCACGAACGCACGGACTTGGTCCGGCCAAAACTAACAGTAGTTCAGTCGGCCGGACCGTCAAAGGTCGCAGTGACCCTAACGCGACGGTCGGCTTGGGACGGTGTCACTAGCAGTGCCGCCCCTGGTCTCAGACGGCGCCGAGGGACAGTCCCGGACGGACAGTTCTAGCTTCTGTTGGTGGCGTCTGCCAGCTAGAGCCCAACGCTCCGTGTTTCATGAAACGATGCTGCAGCTTTAGTTGGGATCAATAGTCGCTGGCTGGGTCATATGAACTGCCAAAGAACGATGCTGCCTTTACGTACAAGCGTGGGGCTCTGCTTAATAAGAATGAAGTTGCAGCTGCAATAATGCTATTCATCCATGGGGTACTAATATTTCTCAATTTCTGCGTTTGCAAATGCCAAGGAGTCGTTGGCTATGGCTGTGGCGAAAATCGGTCGTGACTGTTTGATGTCGTCGTTGGCGGAAGCGTTAGCTCATTGTCTGTGTATGCGGGTGTTCGTGAACAACCGCCGCACGACCCAGCTGTATCACCGCTCGGAGGGTCGGGCTGGCAAACAAGGTGACATTACGGGCTGCCTTGCGTGAATTTTAAACACGTTAAAAATGGTGGTGCTTAACTTTGCACCTGACGGCCTATTTGGTGGGATGACTGTGGTGATTTTCGACCCAGCTAAGCTGCGAGCGCTTATTATTGCCGTGTGCGCTGTGCGATGACAAACGCGGGACTTGATCATCTCGAACACAAAGCGCTGTAACGCTGAATGTTTTTGTCACTTATTGCCACGACAGAGTAACCAATAGACTAAGCCGATCGGAAGGAAATGCCCGAACATATCAAACCTTCAGATCTCACTAGCTCCAATGTTTCAGTGTAAGACGGATGTGCCTGCCACTCTGGGTGGGGGCTCCTGCGACATTCTTGCTGTCTGTTGCTCGACAGCCGATAACATTTGTAACGTGATGTGGCTCCGATGTTCTTTGGTTACCGGTCATTGGGACGTGCATTTCCGGTAGGTGCTACGTGATCCGGGAAAAGACTAGCGTATGTTCCTCTTGCCGTGTCTGTGTTATGCTCACTAATCCGTTACTGCAACGTCCGCTCCAGCGTGTCGCCGCATGGTGTCGCCGCGTGTCCTCCCATTCCTGTGGATCTGTGACTGTGTTCTACTGTCCCTTCGACATTCTGTCCCGTGATCTGACTCCCGTCCGTTTTACTCTCTAGTGGTCCAACCCATTCACTCCGCCATGTGTGCAGTGGGTGACCTGGCTCCCTCCCTCTGCCGTTAACCCGCGCCCTGGTGGGGGGGGGGGCTATTTTTTGCCCCCCCCCCCCTCCAGACTTTTCGATATATCTCCAGAACCACTGCGCCGATCGTCACCAAACTTTCAGTACCCTCCCGGACATCAATTTTACACATTGTGACCAAAATTTTTTCCAAAGGCTATGATAGGTTGGCCGGAAATGACGTCAGAGTGACGTCATGTTCTGCCGTTTTCGACCCAAAAAAGGGTTTCGCGGGAAGAGCTGTCAGGCCTATAGCTTTGCAAATACAGAAAAATGATACAGACATAAAAGCTGTAGAATGGACAGAGCTACAAAACTGCTATCTCGGAATTTTGAAATTTTTGGATTTTGACCCCCAAAAATAAAAAAATAGATTTTTTGAATATAATAGCCAAAAAATCCAAAAAGTTTTTTGAATTTCGAAAAAACCGGAATATATGTGATAGTCCTTACCGCCTTCTATCTACATACCAAATTTGAGATCGATACCTCTTTTTTTGGCCAAGTTATAGCGAAAAAAACTGTTCAAAATTGATGACGTCAAATTTTCAAACTCGATTTTCAGCAATTCTAGACCTCGTAGCGCAAAACAAAGACCATCATTAGACTCCCCTTGACGAGCTGCATCGAATCAATACCCATTTTATGCAAAAATATCAACTTTGAAATTTGACCTTTTTTGACCTGACCTTGACCTGACCTCCACCAGAAAGTGACCTAAACCGTACCTGATGGTCTTATAACCAACACCATTGAGTTGGAAATGAAAAACTGGCCATAAAACATGCATCGCATAACCTTAGTAAAGTTGGGTTCATGTGGTGACCCTTGGTGACCTTTGGTGACCTGACCTGTGACCTGACCTGGTATGACCAGTGACCTCTAACAGCAACATATCTACTAGGCAACTGACGCCCTATCGCTGATTCCCGACAAAATGCGTTTTCCTCGGTGTTATAGCGCATTCCCTAGAAGACCCGTGAACGGTGAAACATTTCATCTTTGACCTGACCTGTGACGTCATCGGTGACCCCGAGGTCAATAAAATTTGGTTTCACTCGACAAATTTGACAGGCCTTTCGAACGCCGTTTGAATTTTTCGGATCCGTCCAGTAGTTTCGGAGATACGAGGGGGGGCAAAAAATAGCCCCCCCCCCCACCAGGTCGCGTTATAAACAGACCCCACCAGGGCGCGGGTTAATGGCCTGGCTCATCCCCTCCGCCCTGTGTGCACTGTGGGTGACCTGACCCTCTCTCTCTCTCTCTCTCCGCCCGCAGGCTGAATGAAGAGGCCTCGATGAACCACCGCGAGGGCGGCAGCGAGGCGGGCGGCGGCGCCGATCGGCCGGCCGCCGCCGCCGCCGGCTCGCCAGACACGGAGCGGCCCACGCTCAAAGTTCACCTGCCCAACAGCTTTCATATGGTCAAGTACTCAGAGAGCACAGATGTCAAGGTTAGTTGGGGCGGTGTGCGGAGGATGGGAGGCTCTGCTCTGAGGCGGGGGTTTGTCTGAGGAGCGGAATCAGCTGAGCGGTAGGGTTCGTTTCCGTCAGGAATTGAATGACATAATAGAGGCATGATGCTGAAGGTGTTTGTGCCTTGCCGACAGCATGTTTCTCATTTTACGCTCGCAGAGTCCGGGCACATTTTATTTTTCAGCCACCTTTTTTCCATTGGTAGTGGTGGTAGTAGTAAATAATTTTGATGAACTTATAAGTCTTCTGTCAGTTGTTTTCTTATGCCTAAGTTAAAAACGTTTTCTCGGACACATTTTATATGCGTAATCTGACCTGTCGTCCCTCCCTCTGCCTACAGTATGTGCTAGATTTGCTGGTGACCCGGCTGGCGCCGGAGCCGCGCGCCTACGAGGGCCTGTTCGCGCTCCGGATGGTCAACTCAGTAACCGGCGATGTGTGCTGGCTCCATCAGAACACGCCCATGTTCGAGGTAGGTCTGACGGTCTCCCTGGGTAAGGGGTAGGTTCTGAGGTGGCTGCTCGGTACGGTTATGCCGTCTGTGGGACTGACAGGCTGGGACTGTGAGACGAAAAAGATCGGGAGCCTCGCAGATACCTCATACGGGTTTCTGTGAGGTGATTGGTTTTCTCTAAAATCGCTGTTTCTGTCATGGCTCTGGCGTGGTTTTCCTCGTTTCGGCGATAGTTGGGCTCAACCAATCGTTGCATCAGTACGGTGTCGCAGGACGCCGATAGATATTGTTTGTGGCTCCGTTAGTTCCTCGTGGCTGCGCTTGTTTTGCGCCTCATGACAAGCTGTTTCGTCAGATAGTTTGTTTTTCCTGGCTACCCACTGTTTATTGCCAATGTCGGGATCTGATGTATCGGTGAAAACATTGAACCGACCAAATTAGTAAGATTCAATTACTCAATTGCGTGAATGACATTGAAGAAGCAACGTCACCGACAAATTCTGTCGTGTTGAATTAGGCTCTCCCTGGTGCTGGCTACCCCCAGTGTCGAAACTTGTTTACTCTCCTTCGTTCTTCTTCGATAACATTCCGTTTGTTTTTCAACGGCTTGTCTGCCGCTTCACCGGTAGACTGGCTATCAGAGCACGGTGTTTTCACTGCTTTCATCGCTCGTGCTCGCGCTGGCACCGATGAATGACCCGCACGAGCCGCCTGGTACCCACTGATCCAGTTACAGTGGCTGGTGTTGGGGCATTGCCAGACCCGGAGAGCGAGATATGTTCGGTCGACGGGGAGGGGGGGGGAGGGGGCTGCAACGGGAGGTTACCTGCCGTGGCTCAGATGCGGGGCTGGGCATGGGAAGGGCGTATGTATGCGGGCAAGTGGTGGATGGGTGACTGAAGTAAGGGAATGAGTAAGTGAGTGCTTGAAGCCTGGTTCCCACTGGGCCTGTCACCCGTCGAAACAGCCCCGTCACTGTCACCCGCCGTGTTTATACATTTATGACAAGTTTAATATTGTAGCGTGAGTGATCACTGTCACTAACATGTGCCCATCGACTCATGCTCAAGACGTCACTACTCTCACCTGATGACGTCACTCTGACATCACTACCTCTCCTCCTCTCAGGTACTGGAGAAGCAGGAGGGCGGCGCGGACCGGTGGCGGTTCGAACTGCGTGTCCGGTACCTGCCCACCGATCTGCACCAGCTGTATGACAAGGACAGAGTCACCTTCCACTTCTACTACGAACAGGTCAGCGAGATATGCGCTCTGTTGGCCCTTCACCCTCGGCTGGATGGAGAGGGGGCTTAAAGTTAGCCTGGTTTAGTGAGGGACCCTTGGCGGACGAAAACTTGACATTGCGAGTGTTGGCAAGAAATTATGGCTGTCAGCTGTCAGGGGCTTGATGTGATAAGGGCTCACCATTCGTCAACTAGTAGTTGAGTCTAACCCTTATTATTTTTTGTTGGAAGCGAATGGCCTCTCCGCTATCGGTGCATTCTCACTAGGGCTGGACGTATTCATTGTGTCATATCCCTCGGCCTTTCCAGTCCCTAACCCTGATTGTCCCTACCCTTTCCCCACTCCTGTGCTCTGACCGCCGTCTGTGCGTTTCTCACAGGTCCGGGACGACTACCTAAGCCAGGAGCAGTGTCCGGTCGACCAGGAGATGGCCGTCCAGCTGGCCTGTCTCGACATCCGGCGCTTCTTCAAGGACCTGCCGCCGAACGCGCTCGACAAACGCTCCAACATGGACTACCTCGAGGCCACGGTGGGCTGGGCCAAGTTCCTTCCCCGCGCCGTCATCACGGCCACCAAGGCCAAGGCGCTGCGGAAGGCCGTGCAGCACCAGTTCAAACGCTGCAGCCACATGAGCGAGCCCGAGTGCATGTTCAAGTACTTGGAGCTGCTGAAGACGGTGGTGCGCTTCGACCAGGAGCGCTTCACCTGCGCGCTGGGGGTAAGTGTGTCTAGTGGCAGGGGCGTATGGTGGTGCTTGGGCGAGAACTGTTGAATGTTGATGTCCAATTATGTATAAGTGCTTACTCTGCAGTTTTCAAGTTCTCTTTCCGTGCGGTAAATTCTCTATAGAAAATGCATCACTTATATCGCGGTCATGCGCGCGTGTTCAGCGAACATACAGGCTTTGTGGTATTTTTACTGGCATTAATATTTTTTTAATTGTTTGCTGACTGACATCTTGCGCCCTTATCCGCCTCGTTTTACATTTGCCGTTGGTGTGTGTTTCTCAGGCATGGTCGATACGTGTGCAGCTGATCATCGGTCCGGACTCTGGGATCTCATACACCACAGACAAGGAGGACTCGGTGGGTGCCGATTGAGATTGAGACTGAGACTGAGACTGAGACTGTTAGAGGAACGGGGCGGGCTGGATAGGCCGTACCATGGACATTGAGCACGGGACAGTGTTTTACATAAGCGTATCTGGTACCGCATTTGTTCAGAAGTCTCGTGTTTTTACTGCAGCTGCTGATTGTGTAATGTAGCGGGTATGATTTACAAGTTACAACCATCTGCAGGATCGCATAGCTGCATTATTTCAAATGGCTCGTTCGTTCGCCATTTATACGCTACTGATCTGTGCCTGTTCCACCGCCTGTTTTTCCTTACCTCGCTCTCCGACACCCACTGACCCACCCTGCTCTGTCCCTTCACCAGGCCACCCATCTGAGCAGTTTCGACCAGGTGCAGAGTATCCAGACACTACTCTCTCCGTGTGAGAACTCTGCTCGGCGGGCGGCCGTGCAGCTGCGGGTGGCGGGCCGGCCGGAGCCGCTCATCCTAACCTGCGGCTCGCTGAGGGAGGCAGACAACCTGGCCGACCTGGTGGACGGCTACTGCAGACTGGTCAACAACGCCTCCAGCAGCCTGTGGACCCGCAAAGGTGCGCCCACCGCCGACAGGACAGAGGGCGGGCGGGGAGCGGGAGAAAGGGGGGGATGGTGATGGTTTGCTGAGGTGCTGGGAGTGTTTTGGTTTGGGGTTTGTTGTTGCGTTTCAATGATCCCAGGAGGTTTGTCTGTGTGAATGTGGGGCGTAGGCTATGCTGTGTTCGGTTTGCTTTGACCTTCTCGGTGGAGGTCCGTGGAGTGACCTGTGACGCCTGAGCTATTGTCTGAAGCTCAGGACCGTCCCGCAGTCCAACAGTTAACCCTCCTCTGACTCTCCTCGTCTATGTCTCCCTCCCGCTCCCAACTAACTCTGCTCTCTGTTAGTGCTGCCTTGGAGACACGCGTGCCACTGCTGCCGGCCAGGTAGGTTGAGAACGGATAAAATCGCACCAATATTCTGCATCTATTACGGATTTATGACACTGATGCAGACTTTACCAACTTATCACACAGACGTCGTTCGGACTCAGTGTCATATTTTGTAGTTCGTGTGCTGCAACGTCATGGCCAATGTGATGCTCCGTCAACCGCGACGACACTACGTGTTGCTATAGCGCCAGCGCAGTGGTTTGATTGTATTAACTGGTGCTAGTTGCCGTGTCACCACAGTGTCCCTGCGGCCTCCTATAAAGCCGCGGCAGCTGTGCCGGCCCCTGATAGACTCGATAGCTGCCTTCCGGAGGGCTGCGGCAGCTGCGCCGCGGCCCGGGACGGGACGGAACGAATTAACACTGAGGGCTGTCAACTCCCACATGGAGTATCTCGACTGGTGTTCCTCTCGACTTTATGTCTATCAGTGCAGTGCCGAATGAGCGGTGGTGTTTTGTATGGTATCATGTGTTTGGAGTCTGAACTCATTTCCAACCCATGACTAACCTATCCTCGGCTCTCCTATCTTTTCTGTCTCAGTCTGCAGAGCCCTGTGACTGACCCCCGCCCCCCCCCCTTCCCCTTCCTACAGCGAGCCGCTCGCGGTCGGGGGAGCGGCGCTCGCCCTCTGCCCGGCGCTCCGGCCGCTCCGCCTTCTCGGACGACTACGCCGAGATTGTGGAGGACGAGGGGGACTACAGCACCCTGGCGGCCAGGGACTACGAGCTGCCGCGGGATTCGGTTCATCTGGTGGAGATTATCGGTCAGTGACGCAAACGGGAATAGTGGGTAGAGGGAGGGATGGAATGGGATGGAATGGGATGGGACGGACGGACGGACGGACGGAATATGGCAGAAGGGGACAGACGGTTACGGGACGGGGAGATGATGACATTAGCCGAGGAGACGATGGGGGACAGGGTAGTAGTCTGGTGTAAACGTCCCGTGTGAGCACGTTTTGATATGAATGGGGACTGAATTGTAACAGGGGATGATGCTGCCCGATAGCATCAAGAATAAAATGCCTGGCTAGCACGAGTTCAGTGCGTTGAGGGGAGCTTGGTTTCAATTTTTGGCTGTACGATGAACTAAAACTGACTTATTAGTGCACCTTCGTTGGGTAAACTGTTAGCACTGGCGGCCGACGGGTGTGGTCTGCCCGACACGGCGGCATTCTCCGTCAGGTATCCGTGAACTCTATGACGACCGGTGACCGCTGTAGGCACTGCCTCTCAGCACAGCGCTGGGAGCACAGCCGACTTATGATTCATACATACCGGCCGGCCGCCATGAATGATGCATGTGTTGCTCATTCGACTTACAGTGTGTTAGCATGGCCTTATGCGAGGCTGCCCAAGGCGACTCAAAGGTCGTGGAATAAATAGGTGCTTACATTACTGCCTTCTTCTGTGTGGTGTACCTGTGCCAACTGTGTACCATATCTGACTTCTGCAACGACAGAACACTAGCTGTGGAGCCAGTTTGGTGACGTAGGGGAGAGTGGGGTGGGTTGTATCAGTTTTTACTCCGAGACCCATAACCTCGTAACTATCCGTGATAAACTCATTATTTCCATACTATCTCCTTCCTTGATTCTTCTGCTTTTTGTGCAAAGTAACTTTTCCGCTACTTCTACCAGTTTTTCTTCTACGGTCTGCCGAATAGAACAATGTTTTTGATACAACTTGCCCCATGGCTTGGGTGAGTTGTATCACATGGTGGGGTAATTTGTATCACTATATCACGTTTCAGGGACTGTGCTTGCTACTGGTTTTGAACATAACAACAACATTAAATGGGGTTAATACAATGTATATGCTCAAAGGCTTCACTTTCATTAGACCAAACTTAGGTCAATCCGAATGAAACATCGAAACGAACGAAACATCATCAGACTAGACGCAAAAGTGGCCCGTTAAGAGCAAAGAAGCCAACACACTGTGCCGAAATGGAACGAGTATTGACTGGCTACCTACAAACGCGAGCCAGGGCTTAGCTTTCGCGATCAAAAGTAACATACCCATACATACATACATCCATACATGTTACAACATACCCCACCCGGCTCTGATACAACATGTACCTCGCCGCCATCTTGGAAAAACATCCTCGTGCTCAAAAACAGCGAACAGCTGGCTAAATCCATTTTCACTCAGGCAGCTTTAGAACCTACCCTCACCACCGCTACGGAGATCTTTCAAATTCGTGCACATCTAAATGCCCAAAACACACATTTTCTTGCAACTTATTTTTTAGAATGACATTTAAAAAACATTAAATCGGCTCTCACCTCGAGACGCGTCCACCCAGCCACACGACAGAACATGGAAAGATGGCGCCCGGAAAACCTCGTCGGCTGGTCGTGTCACGAGCGCCATCTATTGGATAAGTTTGGCACAATTCGCCCTGATACAACTTGGACATGATGCAACTCTCCCCGCTCTCCCCTACCGTCAGGTAAGTCCAGGCATCGGTAAAATCCTTTTTGAAAGGATTGCATTCCCAATCCACATTCCTAGTGCCGAAGTGGATTGCATTCCTACCCGCAATCCCCTTTTTTCACTTGGATTGTGATCAAATCCGCAATCCTTTTTTGCAATCCTGTTGTATTATTATGTGCACTAGTGGATCTGGGCCTGGATCTGGGGGAGGGAGGGGGCATAGGGCCGTGCCTCCATCCTCAAATCACCCATTTCTAGTACCTAGTCTTGCGAGTAATTCCTATATTTAATCCTATTAGTGGCAGGCTCCTGGCTACCCCTATTAGTGGCAGGGGGGGCTGTTTAAGACCCCCCTTGATTTCTCGAGATCTAACGGGCCGATTTTCAAAATTCAAACGGCATTCGATTTCGCTCAACGTGATCTACATTTCTAAAAGATAAAGATTAAAAAATGTCAATAGGGGGGTGGGGTAGAGGGGGGTAAAAACGGGCAAATTGCAGATACATTTTAGACTGTCTATCACGGCCAGGTTTCTGAACCAATCTTAACGCAACTTTTGCCGATCGATAGAGAATGAACCAGGAATTCACATGGATCCTAAAAATATGCATTTCCAAAAATCATAGGCGGATACAGATAATTGAGATTGGGGGTACACAAAAAGTATAGTAAATAAGGTTTTTGTTGGTACTGTTTCTAAAAAGGGTGGCAATGGTCTTGTTATGTTACAATTTTCTTATGAGAAAACGACTACAATTGTATTGGTCATGCATAGGCGGTGTCAGGGCACCTATGTTGGGAGGTAAAACATAACCCCCTTTTTGGACGCCTGGATCCGCCTATTATAGCAAAAACGTGTTAAAAGAGGATGCACAATAACTTTGTATATGTTATCACATGATATCTTTCATTCAATGTTCGTAAAACTGGTGTATACAGTTATAATACATCAGTATCGTGATCTTCGCCCCAAATGACTCGCTTCACGAATAGGACCACCCAATTCCCAGTGCTCTGGAGCCGCCCCTGGTAAAGGTATGAACTTTAAATTTTCAGGGAATGTGCCCAATGTAGTTTTAGGAAAAGCCAGAAAATTTCAGCATCGTAGCTTCAGCGGTTTCGGAGATATTCCCGAAAAACCTGAGGGGTGGATAAAAACAACCCCCCTGCCACTAATAGGGTTAAGGCACAGGTATTTTATGGGAAATATTTTTTGCCTCAAACACCCCCACATTTAAACCTCTACTCAACCAGTGTTTTATATTTTTAAAACTCGCCCTCAAATGCGTAATTTTGCCCTTCCTATGTAGTTCATCAGCGTATATTATTTTGAGCGTTTAAATTAAAAGCGTTTAAATCATTTCAAGTTTCGATGTAAAGCCCTTGATAGCAAAGTACATTAAGCCGATGAAGCCGATCTCATAATTTTCAATCGCAACAAACCATTTCAAAGCACTAATCAAACACAAACGGATTGGATTGCAAAAATTGGAAGTATAATGCAATCCAATCCGCAATCAAATCCTGTTTTTTGGAATGGATTTCAAATCCAGGTGCAATCCACCAAAAAGGAATGCAATCAGGATTTTGCAATCCTGCAATCACAATCCTACCGATGTCTGCAGGTAACACATGGTGTTATAGTCAGTGTACCGTATTACTATGCCGACAGGAGACGGTACGCTCTGTGGCTTACAGACCGTACCGGTACCGTCTCCGACGGTGAGGGCCAGTTCGTTAACGTGTACCCGGTACTGTGTACTGACCGTACCTCACTGTACCGACAGGCGAGGGCCAGTTCGGTGACGTGCACCGCGGCACCTATCGGTCTCCGTCCGGACAACTGACGCCCGTGGCCGTCAAAACGTGCAAAGCCGACAACGAGACCTCCATGGCGCACAAGTTCCTAGAGGAGGCCCGTGAGTAGCCGCGGAGAGGCGCCGGAGGTACGCCGCTAGAGGGAAAAGCTAGTGATTAAGGTTTTACTGTTTTCAAGTGTCTCTATCTGAGGAGGTCGATTTCGATGAATAGGCTCATTGTTAGTGAATGATTCGGTGTTCGATTGGACAGTTTAGGTATCGGCCTTATCTTCAGACACGCTTGTACGATTTGCGCCCTGTGTCCTTGTTCTTGAGCTAGCTATGTGTGGCTGGCCGATATCTTCAACGCGTCATGACTGGGCTTATCTTACAACAGCGTCTGAATGGGAACATCATTTGAAGATAAGACACAGTTATTTCGGTACCTTTCGTTAGTGCTGTGCTTTTTTTTTTGCAGCCTCCTGATATCATCAGTGCCTTTTCAGCCTTAGTTACCCCCACTGACCACAGTTCCCTCTCCCCACTCCAACAGACACAATGCAGCAGTTTGACCACCCGCACATCATCCGTCTGGTGGGCACGTGCAGTACCTCGCCCGTGTGGATTGTCATGGAGCTGGCACGGCACGGGGAAATGCGCGCCTACCTGCGGAATAGTCAGCACCGGCTGCGGTCAGATACACTGGTGTTGTACGCGTATCAGCTCAGCCAGGCGCTGTCCTATCTGGAGAGCAAGAAGTTTGTGCATAGGTGAGAGGGTGAAAGAGAAGCGAGAGTGGTGGGTGGTGGGTGATGAGAGTGGGCTGAGGTGGTGTGGGCCGTGGGGTGGCTAGTGTTTGTGGTTGGGAGACTGTGGAATGGTTTGGTATGGCTTGAGTGTGGAATAGTGCGACAGCTGTTTAGGGTGTGTGGATTGTGGGCAGCATGCGGGAGCATTGCTAGAATCCCAGTCCGTATTGAACCATTTCCGTCTGTTCTCCGATACCCCGACTGTTCTATTTACTGTTGTAGGATGTCGCGGCCCCTCTCGAAACGTCCCATACCCGACTATCACAACACAGGCCCACCGACTATGCTCTCTTCCCACCCCGACCCCTCACCACCCCACCCTCACTACCACCACACAGGGACATCGCGGCGCGGAACGCCCTCGTCTACAGCCACGACAACGTCAAGCTGGCCGACTTCGGCCTTAGCCGGTGGGTCGAGGAGCAGGACTACTACAAGGCCTCCAAGTGCAAGCTGCCCATCAAGTGGATGGCGCCAGAGTCCATCAACTTCAGACGGTTCACCACCGCCAGCGACGTCTGGATGTTCGGTTAGTGGTGGCTGGATTACAGAGGCAAAAGGGATATTTTAGTTAGTGGTTTATGGAATGTGAATGGTGCGTTTATATAAGAGTGATGACGTTGTACAGGACAGATTACTTTGCTATGACACATGCAGCGTTTAGCCTTCGGATATTTTTAGTTGGAGTACTTGCTCTGATAGTACGCTCGTAGTCAATTTTTTTTTTTTGTCGGCAACCGCGCTCACGCTCTCCACTGGATCGGTCTGTTTTCCGGGCAGACTTATGTTTGGGAGATCCCCACTATCTCCGGCCGGTGTTGTAAAGCCCGAGTGTGCGGTACTGAGTGGCACGGCCTAACCATCTCACCTCCCTCCCCAGGTGTGTGTATGTGGGAGATCCTCACGCTCGGCGTACAGAAGCCGTTCCAGGGTGTGCCCAACAGCGAGGTGGTGGGTAAAATCGAGGCCGGCGAGCGGCTACCGCTGCCGCCGCGCTGCCCGCCGCGCGTCTACTCGCTGATGCTCGCCTGCTGGCACTACGAGCCCAGCAAGAGGCCCACCTTCGCCGATCTCAAACAAGACCTGCAGTAAGTGACGCTACGACTTACCCTCGGACAGAAAATATGAGGGGTGTGCGTGGGGCGAGGTGGAATGATCTAATCATGCTGTCCTTCATATTGATGTAAAATATTTGTGTGGCAGGAGAGTTATGAACTCAACCGTCACATATTTCGATATTCGTGTTACAGGGAGGCTCTGTTTCAAGAGCGCGCTACGCAAGAGGAGACGATGAGGAGAGAAAACCGGAGAGTGCAGGCCATGTCCTGGGGTGAGTAGTAGTACAAATCTATACGGTCGCTTAGAAATCCCGATGTTCAGTGCGATGCAGTGTTCCTGTTGCTGACGGGCGTGTTGTTCATGTTTATTTTGTCATGCAAGTGGACCGCTTATTTGTCAAGCATCCCTGTGACTGTATCTGTCTTGTTGCTCTTGCGTGTTGACCGCGTGCCTCTCCCTCGGCAGGTTCCAACGACTCGGACGAGCGGCCGCCGCCGAAGCCGCCGCGCCTGCCGGCCGGGGACCGGTGCTCGCCGCCGCCGCCCGCGCCGCCCGCGCCCCTGCAGACCTACATCGTGGCGCAGAGTCCCGAGGTGCTGGCGCGGCTGATGCGAGACAACGCTGGACGCGCTCAGGCGGGCAGCTACACGACGCCGGCGTCGGCTCTGAATACGGTCAGCGTGGAACTGGGCACCCTGGAGGGCGCGGGACCGACAGGACACGCGTCCGGGCGCGACCGGCGGCTGGGCGGCTCCCTGGCTCGCCGCCCGGCCGCCGCCACCGCCCCCAGCGCGGCCGCCGCGGCCGGTGTGTCAGGAGGAGCCGGCTCCGCGCCCGGCAGTCACTCCCTGCCTCGTAACTTCGCGGCGGCGTGCTCCCGGTCGCCGCGGCTCGGCGGTCGCCGTCAGGTTTGGCGTCTCGCTCTGTTGGCATCTGTGGCAGCTCCTGTAGAGGCCGGCACGGCACGGACGGAGCACGGCACTGGCTGTGCGATTGGCTGCGCTCGGGGCTCACCCGGCACGCCCCGCTCCAGCTCGCCACCGATCGCTCGTTGGGAGCACTGACCCTGACCGGGGCGATTCCATTCGCTAGAGCCTGAGCGAGCAGTGTAGCAGCGGCTGCTTGGGATGGATGCACTGACCCGACGCATCGTTTTCAGTTATATCAGTGGATGCCGAATTGATTCAGTCACAGCTCGATGCAGCTCGGCCACATCTTAGCTGTCTCGATCACATCTGATCGGATTTTTGTTCTGAATGGACCCGTTTTCATTCTCCATGCAATTGCCTTTATTGTCATCTTATTCAGCTCTTACCAGTTACATGTATGTTCCTTTCACGGCGTCAGCTGGCATCGCTTTTTTCTATTATCGCCTTCCTTCGTTTTTATTCTTCATTGTTTGCTGTTGCTTCTCATCGAAGAAATCTCAGTGATTGCAAGATTGACTGAAGCACGTTTGTCACGTTTTTTTTGCACGTTGGTCGGTTTGCTCGCCCAATCAGTTTTCGAGTTTTGCCCTGTACTGCATGAATGAACTGATCAACAGGTTGTTATATCAACGCGATGCATTCAATGCATTGTTTATAGATCTAGAGTTAATATCGTTGCTTTGCCTTGGATTTATCTGCATTGGAATATTAACCTTTTTTGGGGGTATTAACGCTATTAACTCCCGCTGCTGCAAGAAGCAATTTTCTTTGGTTTTTATTATGCTCTGCGGCAAAAAAAAAAAAAAAATAGAAGCTGAAGCTCTCGTGGACTAACGCTGTTTTTAACATGTCTACCTTTTTTGTAATTTTAGCGTAAAAGTAATAACCAAATATTATTTTTCAGTAGTTCACATGATTGCTCTTCACCTGGTGCGGTATCAGGCCGCCTGCGCCCCACACCCTCCCCTGACCCCACTGACCCCCTCTCCGGGGTTCGTCCCTCAGAAGCCGCCGCTGCCTCCTGAGGAACAGAAGCGTCGCCTGGAGCTGGAGGAGCAGGAGCTGCGCGACCGGCTGGAGACTCAGAGACGACAGATGGCAGAGGACGGCGTCTGGCTCAACTCGGAGAACGAGCTGGTGAGTGGGAGAGGGAGGGAGGGAGGGAGGCTCTGCGCGCCGGCTGCCTGGCTCCGCCGCTACTGCCGCTATCGCGCCGGACATGTCCCATGCAGACAGTTAGTGGGCTTGAATGGGGAACGAGATCGAATATTCACTTGGTTTTTATAGTTAGTCGATGGTTATTTCATATTTCATGATCGCCGTTCACTTGTCTGCTCTCATATCGAGTTCGGCTGATAGTTAGACGTGTCAATGGTTATGGGTGACCAAAAATCGATCTGCTTTGCCTCGTCCGGTCTCTGGCCGGCCCGCTGACCGCTTGCTCACGACTCCTTGACTGACCGATACACCGTAACTGACTAACTGACTGACACTCTGACGCGCTGACTGCCGCTGTAACCGCTCTCCGCTGAGCTGTTTGCCCGCCTCTGCCTGGCAGCGTAAGCGCCTGTCGCTGGCCACCTCGTCTGACCGCTCGGACACCGAATCGGTGGACGGCGGCGCTCGCGCCACCTCACCCTTCCACTCGACCGCCGAGCCGGCCGGAGCCAACGGATCCCGCGCCGCATCCCGGGCCGGCTCCGCGCACGGCTCCGGGCCCGGATCGGCAGCCGGGTCCGGGGCGGGGTCCGCGCCCGGGTCCGGGGCCAGCAGCACGGAGAGACCCATCGTCGTCAAGGTAGCGTCAGCCGCCGGTCTGAGAGACCGCAGTGGTGTGGGATCAGCTGTAGACAGAGCGGGCCTCTGGTACAGGGGAGGCCTGGTGGATGGCCTGAGTATGTCACCTTCACAGACCAGGGTTGCTTCTGCTGGCTAATCTAGGTGCAATTACAAGCTGATCCGCAGTCATTGAACTCGTGCACTTAGCTTAGATATAGGTAGTAAAGGTCACGTTGCATTTTCTTTGGGCTGCTTATATGTAAAGTCATGCTAATTTTGTGCAGAACGTTCGCTATTCGTCCTCAAACTTCAAGCTTAGTGCCCTCTGCGATTTTCCCTTGTTTATCGGCTGTTTGACCCCAAACTCATCGGTGACTATCGGTGACGTTACCCCAAACTCAAAGTTGCTCTGGTTAGATTTCCGCAACCCGTCTGTGTTCCTCTCTCCTCAAGCAGTCCACCCTAGTTCTCTATACCCCGAACCCCTCGCCATGACCGCCCGTCCGCCCGTCTCTTCGTCAGCGTATGGAGGTGACTCCGACCGCCGAGCTGGACCGCTCCCAGGACCGGGTGTACGACTGCACCACCAGTGTGGTACGCTCCGTGATGGGCCTGTCGCGAGGCGTGCAGGCCGGCCACGCCCAGCGCTACCTGGACCTGGTCAAGGCTGTGGGGTACGAGCTGCGCGAGCTGCTGTCGGCTGTAGATAGGGAGGTGGTCGCCTTCCCGGCGGCGGCGCATCGAGAGGTGAGCAGGCGTGGAGAGGGGGTGGGCTGGGTGACAGGCAAACAGGCCGGACGGGACCGGGCAGGCTGTGTGGTCTGAGGAGGAGTGAGGCCGGTGTGGCGCGAGAGCCCACTCTGAGTTTGGATGTGCTCTTAGTCGAAATAAGGCAAAATATTTCACGGTGGTGCCATTTTTTAGGGCTACTATTACGTTGTGCTGAATGTAGTTTTGTTGCAATTTTGTCTTCCTGCGCTAAGTAATACGTATTTTCATTCAAGTGGGGTCCTATCCTGACGCACTTGGAAGCTGCTCTGTCATGCTAACCCCTCCCCACGTGTGTTTGTCAGATTGAGATGGCTCACAAGGTGCTGGGGAAAGATATGCAGGAGCTGGTGGCGGCCATGAAGCAGGCTCAGCGCTACAGTACCACCACGCTGGACGACGAGTACAGAAAGTGAGTGGGGCGACACGATGTACAGCCGTACGGCGTTACACGGACGGTGGAGTGTCTTTGGGGAGGGGGACGGACGGGCTGTTTGTGTGTGGTTAGGGAGAGGGGAGATTGGTTGAATAGAGATCACATGTCACTCATCGTGGAATGTAACGTGACGACAGGGCGCTCAAGACGGCCACTAGGCGTTAACGATGATTAATTGACTAGTATGGTGATCCAAGCCGAATGTTACTACGTTGAATACAGTGAGGGCATTTCCTCGGTACTGAGTTATCTGTTTTCTCCTGTCCCGTCTGACTGTCTGCCCCTCCCCGCTCCACCCTCTGACTTCCCCTCCCCGTCCCCACAGGCAGATGCTGCAGGCGGCTCACGTGCTGGCCGTCGACGCCAAGAACCTGCTGGACGTGGTGGACGGGGTGCGGATCAGGTGCGGCGGCGGTACCACCAGCGGTACCGGTACCGGGGGCGGCGGCGGCCACCAGCCGGTGCGGGCGGGCAGCTGAGTCCGCCGCCGCCGCCCCCGCCCCCGCCCGGCGGCGGCAGCGCCTCTAGTCAGCGGCCCCGGCCGCCACATTCCCTGCCGCCGCCCCCCCCCCCCCCTCCCCCCGTCCCCGCAGTCAGCCCCCCTCCCGTGTCAGATCATTCCATAACGCGCCGACCCGCCCGCGAGGCCTCATACATGGCGGGCGGCTCCCGCGTACCGCGAGCTACTGTTATATCTGTGGTGAATATATGGATCATGCGTTAACAAACCGTGTTTGGATGGAACTGGACGGATCGGGTCAGAGGGTTTACCTCGGCGTATAGTGAATCGCAGGAGCCGTCTCTCTACGGGGTGGACCAAAAAGGATGGAAACATTTTGAACAGTGTTATTGCATGCAGGTGACTGAAAATGATACCAAACGAGAGAACATTTTGTGGAAATTCATATTGACATCTCTCTCATCTGCTTTCTCTCGTTTTCAGTCTCTCACAGCTAATGTTCGAAGAGGCCACCTTTGCGAGACAGGCACAGAGCGGCCCGCCTGCCGGCTGACGCGATAGCCCGATGACACATGTCCTCTGGTATGACTCGCACAGCCTTGGTGATCGCTCTCTTCAGATAACAAACGCCTACATAACCTTCCTTGTAGACCTGGCCCTGGAGATGACTCCACAGGAAAGGAATCCATATGTCAGATGAGAAGACAGACAGGCCAGTTCCACTTCGGTTCGAGGATGGGAGCGACAACACCGTGGATGACGACCAAAAGCGCTACCAAGCGACGCTAAAGAAGTTGTTGAAGTGAGCCCAAGCGAAGTATGACAGTCTCATGGACCTCATGTGATTCCAGCCAGACGGTGCGCCTCCTCACATCGCGAAACAACGCTCAAGTGGAGCGAGAACCACTTTGGTGACCGGCTGATATCCCGCAGTGCCTGTCGGAACTGGCCTGTCTGATCACCTGACCTGACCCCGATGGATTTTTTCCTGTGGGGTCATCTCAGGGCCAGGTCCACAAGGAAGGTTCTAAGGGCATCTGTTACCTGAAGAGAGTGATCACCAAGGCTGTGCGAGCCAAACCAGCGGACATGTGTCATCGGGCTATCGCGTCAGCAGCCAGGCGGGCCGCTCTTTGCCTGTCTCGCAAAAGTGGCCTCTTCGAACATTTGCTGTGGGAGACTGAAAACGAGAGAAAGCAGATGAGAGAGATGTCAATATGAATTTCCACGAAATGTACTCTCGTTTGGTATCATTTTCAGTCACCTGCATGCAATAACACATATTTTATGCGAGTTCAAAATGTTTCCATCCTTTTTGGTCCACCCTGTACAGTCTAGCTCTAATACCAATGGCGATGTCATTTCCTACAATAGCTCAGTCTTACTGACAATGTCTCAGATCTTGGGAGAGAAAAATACAAATCAAGGCCGCAGATCAACACATGGGTAAGTTGAAAAATCATGTTATCGTTTGCTGGCTCCGTTGAAGTAATAGAACGGGCAGTAATCAATAGCATGCATACCATGTTGTCCCGACAATTCGACCCTCTACCTCAGCTCCCCGGCTGTGCTCTGCCTCCCCCCCCCCCGACCCGTGCCTCCGTTCGGTCCCACCCGTCCCACCTCCCCCATCGACCAAACATTCCACCGGTGCGGGTGGCAGAGGTAGTGGCGGCGGGGGGTGGTGGGCGGTGGTCGTGGGCTGCATCGACGGCAGTCGGAGTCTCACTCCCCGACGGAAGGAACATTCCAGGACAGACAGCGGTAGTACACGGTGCCGGACTCCGGAGTCAGCGACTTGTGATTGTGGTAGCGGCAAGTTTTCGCACACAATAGCACGCTTCGCATCGGGCGAATTGCTCTATACCTATTCGTTGAGGCTCTTTCCTTTATCGAACTCCTCTTCCTCTTCTCTTGTCTTCTCTTCTCTTCTCTTCTCTTCTCTTCTCTTCTCTTCTCTTCTCTTCTCTTCTCTTCTCTCTCTCTCTCTCTCTCTCTCTCTCTCTCTCTCTCTCTCTCTCTCTCTCTCTCTCTCTCTCTCTCTCTCTCTCTCTCTCTCTCTCTCTCTCTCTCTCCCTCTCCCTCTCCCTCTCCCTCTCCCTCTCTCTCCCCTCTCTCTCTCTCTCTCCCTCCCTCTTCCTCCTCCCACCACCATGTCCGGCCTGCAACACAAACCATCCGCACGCTACCGCCCGGTCGACTGGTTCCGCCACAACACCCAGCTGGCTGAGGTGACTCGCACACAACTGGACGCTGGCCACGGGGCGCGGCAGAGCGCTGGAAGGGCGGTCAATGAGGCGGCCATACGCACGGCCTGGGACCAGCACCACTCCTGTACTCGGCTGCGGGACAGGTGAGAGTGCGATGAGCGTGGAGACGCCTCAGTGTCGCTTTCACTCACGGTGTTGCTCTTGAGTCATGCTGAATCCTACTCTGACTGCAATAGTCACAGTGGTATTGATTGTTCGTATGTTACGTTACAATGTATAAGTGTATCTTATGTACATAAAATGCAATGTACAGTGCAATCCACTACCCAGCACTGACTGTCTCCAGTGCTGCTCCTCTGACACTCTTACCTGAACCCCCGACAGGCTGAGTGAGGTCGAACACTGGAAGCTGCACCTGGAGCAGTCAGTAGCCGCTGTCGATGACGAGATGGCCGCTCTCTGGCGCGCCAAAACGGCCGCGGAGGACGAGCGGGAGGCGCGCCATTTCGACCTGGAGACGGCCCAGGCGGCTCTGGCGCAGCGCGAGGGACGCCTGCGGCTCGAGGTGGTCAGGGACGACGTGGAGGAGACGCTCAAACAGGTGACTGATTAGGGGGAGAGTGCTGCTGCGGGACAGCGTGGGGTCAGTGGGGGTGATGCTGGTTAAGTTGCATCGGTGTTAATCATTGACCATTTATGTGGATTTGAAGTGCTGAACACGCTTCAGTTGTAAGTTTAAAAAAAAGTTTGCTACATTGCATAAATCTTGTATCAGTTCCTCGCTTCATAAAAAAAAATAAGTTACAGACGCATTTGTTATCTTGAACCGTTCTAAAAATGGTATTTTCTAAATTTATATCGTTTTTTATAATAATATGGAATTCAAACATTGCGTTCAAGCTTGCCGTAGCTGACCTCCCTCTACCCTCGCTCCCAGGAGGTGGACGCGGTGTCAGAGTTCCGCGCACACCTGCAGCAGCGCGCCGAGCAGAGTTTCGAACAGCTCTGCCGGCTGGCCGACGCCCGCCAGGCCCTGCTGGACGACATCGCCGCCAAACAGGGAGCCCTGCATGTCGACCTGTCCAGCCTGGCGCTGACCACCGAGAGCGCCGAGATCGGCTTCAAACCGGACCCACTGCGCGTGCCCCGCGAGTGAGTACGGCAGGTGGCTGGGGGCAGCCCGAGTGGCGGCGGGTTCCATCTGGTCCAAAATGCGTCTGAACTCTGAATTATCGTGCGCATAGGTAAACAAATCTGCATGAAATGGGTCAACTACGCAGCAGTCGTGCGGTACAGTCTACCAGTCAGGCGTTTACACTAGCGACATCTATCGGCCAGTATAAGAACTACATAGCAGTCGTGCGGTACAGTCTACCAATCAGGCGTTTACATTGCCGACATCTACCGGCCGCCATGGGAAGTACGCAGCAGCCATGCGGTGCAGTCTAACAATCAGGCGCTTCACACTGCCGGCATCTATCGGCCGCCGTGGGAACTACGCAGTAGTCGTGCGGCACAGCATACCATTCAGGCGCTTTACACTGTCGACATCTATCGGCCCCCATGGAAACTACTTAGGAGTTGTGCGATGCAGTCTAACAATCAGGCGTTTTACACTGCCAACGTCTCTGCAGCTATGATAACTATCCAACTTTACGGTAACAACACAGCATGCGTTTTGTTTAATCAGTAGTTCACGTTGCACATTCTAGTCGGGATAGAAGTGTTATTGGTGAACTGACTCGTGCCTGGGCTCATCTACTTATCCACAATAGCTATAAACGCGGTATATGATCGCTGCACACTCATATCCCGTCTTTGATCCACGATGAGATGACGCGTCCCGTGTTGTACCCCTGTCACTGTCACTGATCGACAGTAGCTGAACTGACGCGTCCTGTGTTACTGCCTCCCCCCCCCCCCCTGCAGCTCGGTCACTGGCCGACAATAGATCAACTGGCATGTCCCGTGCCCCCCCCCCCCGCAGCTCGGTGACGGTGCCACGCTGGGAGGACAGCTGCCGGGAGAAGCTGGCAGCTGCCGACTACCAGCTGCAGCAGTCGCGTCAGCTGCGGGCCGCTGACGCCGACACGGTGGTGCGCGGTCAGAACCGACTGGAGGGCTGTCACGCGGCGGTACAGTTCGCGGCTCGGCGCCGACAGCACGAGCTGCAGCAGGCTCACGACGAGCTGCAGTGGCAGCGGGGACAGGTACGGTGGGAAGGGGACAGGGACGACAGGACGTACGACCCGCCCTGGTTAGATATAAGGATGATAGGAATATAAGAGGTCAGGAAGTTGTGTGATGTGTCAGACAGGAACACTCAGGCACCTAGTGGTTGCGTTGCTGACCTGTTGATAGTACAAGCCAGATCAGACAACCAATTTTTGAAGCCTCACTATTTCACCAGTGTTTCTCTCACTTCTTGCCATTCTTGCCATTGCCATTCCCGCCTTTCCATCAGGTAGCCGACGAACTGGCCGAGACGGAGCACGAAATCAGCCGGGTGGAGGCTGCACTACGGGACAAGGACCCGTACCGGCGGCTGGCAGAGACGCGGCTGGAGCGTCGGACCGAGCGGCCGCTAACGGAGAGGGTGTACGACCCGCCGTGGAGCGCCCTGAGAGCCGAGACCACCGCCGTCCAGGTGGGGAGGACGGCACGGGGCAGAGTCCGAGATGCGTTTAACTGCTCCGGTGCGTAATAGATAGCTGCGGAATCCAGTGTCTTTCTGCAAAAGAAGTCAGCTTTAATAGGATTTCAGCTCATCCCCAAGTGATGTTGAAGATAATTTGATCACGCCTTATTTCTCGCATGCCTTTTTCATAACGCTGGGATTCTAACTGCCATCACAGTCTGCCTGCATGTCTTTACCAATTGGACTATGCCTCAGAATCCAAGACACATTCTTGTTTCGTGTCTTCGTCCCCCTCCCCCATCTTCGTCTTCGTCTTCCAATCTTCCGACCTCCCCCCCCCCCCTCCACAGGAGACGCAGGGTGAGCTGCGTCAGCAACTGTCGCAGCTCTGGGAGACGGCCCACCGTCTGCGCCGTCACCTGGCCAGACTCGACGACAACATCAGCGGCAAGGCGGCGGCGCTGGGCGTGGAGCGCGCCTGCGCAGAGACACACGGCCGCAGCCGGCCGCCGCCGCTGGTCAGAACCAGGTCCCACCTGGATAAGGTACGGATGCTCGTGACGGATAGTATATTCTAGACATGGTAGTTTGGAGCTGGTTGAGCTCTTGAGCTCACATTCAGTCACTATTGCTCCTTGGTAAATTACAACCGGAGTTGCTTGATGGACAAACCACTGGTAAAAGAACCATGCTGTCCTGTCGGGAGTCAACGATGCGTTCTGTTGAAGCACCCATTGACAAGAACTGTGCGTGAGTTTTTTTCTGGTAATGCATTTGCTTCTTTTCCTCAGGTACTGCTGCTAAAGCCAGAGACGGTCACCCACGACCGAGCTGCCACCTACCAGGTCACTCCCGAACTGCTACCGGGCAAACTGACGTCACAGGAGTGCACCTATGGCTGTAGCTGCAGAGGCACCGAACAGTGACGTCATACCGGGCAGAATGACGTCACAGGAGTGGACCCATGGCTGCAGCTACCGGGGTAACGGGCAGTGGCGTCCTACCCGGCAAATTGACGTCGCAGGCTGAGCTAGGGCCGGTCTGAACACTGAACAATGATGTCACCGAGGACCAACTGACGTCGCAGGAGCCCACCAATGATGTGGGCATCTTCATTTGGAAGATGTTTGTTGTGGATTTTGTACTGCCGTTATGTGCCTCTTCTGTTCTTGATTCGTCTGTAGCTTCTCTTTTGCGTTGCTCTCTAACCGCTGATCATTCCGGGTTCAAGTATAGGTAGGTATTGGGTGTGTTCGCAATAACTGTGCGACTATCGTAGCAATGTTGCCATATAATCTTCCAGCGTGCGTATCCTAACGAACCATTTCCTCTCAGTTCGCTAACATGCGCGTCCTAAAACAAATGCAGCACGAGTTAGCGAGTTAACTGGATAATTGGGTTGGTAACAGCTGTACTGACACCGCCATATCCTCGCGCAGACACTGCCATGAAAAGCTATGTAGAACAATATCGCTTTATGCTACTACGATGTACGGTAGAGGGGTGTCACTAGGCGTGTTGACTGTCAAAATAAGTGTTACGTGTAGCTGATGCACGCTTCACCTCTGCTGGTTGATCCGTGTAAAAGCATGCACTGGTTGATAGCAATCATGTACGAGCAATCCATAGAAGTTAGCCAAGCAGCCTTCGTAAAATGAACCTAGTCCCCGTTAAATAACCAAGCATCATCCCTTGGTCTGTATCCCAGTGCGCTACAAAATGAGTCAGCCATCGTTTGTACATTGAGCACGTACAAATATATTATCACTCAGAACACAGACATCTGCGGACATCTGTCGTTAAGCGATACAACATATCACTAGAACTGCGGCACTCTCAGGCAGACATGTCAGAAGAATACTGACATCTACTGACTGTATAAACTGACTGCAGCATAGTACGTCAACGGGGGTCAATCAGCAACATCTGACCCTGGGTAGCCGGGAACCCGACTGAAAATCCTCACTCAGACCGCTCAACGCCATTATGTACCGACAGCAGCTGGGGCTCCCGACTGAAATCTGTCGCACGCGCCAACTCAATTGCACTAAAACCGAGACAAAGACCGGAACAGATGGGGTGGGGTAAAGGAGCTTCTCTGGGTGGGATTATCTTGTAACTCAGCAGCGAATGCAGTCAGAGTAAACAGCTGTCATAGAACAATTACCTGAATGTTCCACTCCACCACAGGATTACTAAAGGCAACTCAGTTCCACATGGCATTCAACAGCAACACGTCAACAGTCACCACATATTCTCTCATCTCTCATTTCCTCCAACATTCATTCATCGCGCACCCCAGCACAGCCCTCCCTGCCGTCCCCTCCTCCCCTACTCGGGTCGCCCCACGCCCCTCTGATCCCCCTCCGCTGGCCCGCCGGCCGGCTGCCCGTCACCCTCTCCCCCCTCGGCGGCCGGCGGAGGCGCGTTCGGCGGCGGCCCCGCAGTGGCAGCCTCCTCCTTGAGTTCCTCTTCAAAGTCCTGGTGCGTGACCAGGTGTTTGTGGCCGTGGGGAGGGGGTCCAATCAGCGCCACCACGTCGTCGTAGTTGAGGGTGTCGCGGGACATCAGTGCCTCGGCCATCTACCAGAAGGGCGGGAGAACAATATAGTGTCAAAGCGTTACCGCAGTGCAGGTCTCAGCCAGCTTCAGGCTGGGTGAGACCTGCAGAAAAGGAAGGCGCGGGTGAGGGAGGGGCGTTATCACATCACGGAGACAATGCTTTACACGCTACTGAAGACTATCTTGCGTCCTCTCAGGAACTCGGTTTGACGCTACCAACTCATTCAGCACCGCTTCTACCCCCACCCGACTCTAATATCCCTCCTCTCCCCACACACGCCCTCACGTACTCACTGACTGACTGACTGACTGACTGACTGACTGACTGACTGACTGACTGACTGACTGACTGACTGACTCACTCACTCACTCACTCACTCACCACACACACTCGCATCCGCTACCTCTCCTTCTACACCACCCGAACCAGTTGTGCCTGCCCATCGGAACACTCACCATCTGCAGTTTGTCCATGTTCTCCTGGAGCACCTGCTCCGTGTGCCGGTAAGCGCGGGCCACCAGAGCGCGCGCTTCCACGTCCATTAGAGCCGCCAGTTTTCGGCTGTACGGCTTCCGGCCGGGCGTGGACGGGTCGAAAGATAGCGGGCCCACAGCCTCGTTCATACCGAATGTGCGGACCTGGAATGGCCAGAAGCACAGGTGATGTGTCAGGCCGGTAGCTCAGGGTGAGTGTTAGGTCAGTAACAGGTACGAGCACGATGGGAGACTCGCCTCTAAGAGTTCTTCACTTCTAAAAATGCTTGTCGTATCTAACATTACGTACCAATATCTAATATCTATCCCGTCTGTGCTCGTCAAGGAGCAGCTTCAATAATCATGTAACAAACTTACTAAGGTATCTGCTGCTGGTTTCGCATATTGTAAGCCATAACTGAATAAAGGCAATCCACAACAAGAAGATTTTATTGGTGATAGCTTCATTTTTTAACGCATGCACCGACAGATAAATCGCTAGATACTAAACGTCTGTATAAAATTCGCGAATCGCACATTCCGGAAAGGCTCTCTCCGCTCTCCGAGCCCTCACCTGGGCGTAGGCCATTTTGGTGACCTTATCCAGGTCGTTCTGCGCTCCGGTGGTGACCCGGTCAAAGACTAGAGCCTCGGCGCACCGGCCGCCCAGCGCCATACACATCTTCTCAAACAACTGGACACAGAAAAGCCACAGAGCAGGAGTTAACGAAACAGTGTTACGACAGATCAGTTGACAAGACAGACAAAACAGTGCACATATTGCAACGAATCTCATTTAGTTTACCTCGCTTTATTCAGTAAAATTCATTAGGCATGTCTTCTTTATAGCAAAAACTATCGCTAGCATCCACCAACTGTAGCTATTACCACAGCATTCAAGCTCCGTCACTTTAAACACAATGTATTCAACTAGTCCTGCCTCTTCGAAAGATGTTGTGTCCCTCCGTATCGTTCCATCCCAGGTAGTAGCATTGCGGTCCAAATCTCACCTGCTCCGTCGTGTGCAGTTTGATGTCTGCCGGAGTGTACTGCGCGAAGCCTAGCGTCTGGTTGGTTCGCGGCACGATGGTGACCTTCAGCAGGGCGTCCGTGTGCTTCAGGAGCCAGCCGACCAGCGCGTGACCCGACTCGTGGAACGCCACCACGCGCCGTTCAGAGGGAGACATTACCTGAGGGAGGGTGGGGGGGAGGGGGGAAGTCAGTGGGGACTAAACGCCACCACGCGCCGTTCAGACGGAGACATTACCTGAGGGAGGGGAGGGGAGGTCAGGCGCTCAGAATATCACCACTGTGAGGGAAGGTCAGGGAGACAATGCCACCACGCGCCTCTCAGAGGGAAACATCACCAGGGCGGGAGGGGAGGAGACAAAACGTCACCACTGTGACTTTTCCGACATTGTTCCCTCCAGTCAATCCCGTAACTGTAAAAATTTCTCTCGTCCCCTGCTGTCATCGTTTGCCCCGTCCCGTGACCGTTTAACCCAGTCAATGTGACGGTTTCCCCCATCCCTCCGACTCCGACCGTTTCTTCGGTATGTGCAGTTCCCTGTGACCGTTTCTTCGGTATGTGCAGTTCCCTGTGACCGTTTCTTCGGTATGTGCAGTTCCCTGTGACCGTTTCTTCGGTATGTGCAGTTCCCTGTGACCGTTTCTTCGGTATGTGCAGTTCCCTGTGACCGTTTCTTCGGTATGTGCAGTTCCCTGTGACCGATTCTCCGGCCGGCGCCGTATCTGTGACCGTTCCTTCGTCCCTGGTCAGCTAAGTTGTCACTAGTTACCTGTGACCGTTTGTCCAATAGTCCCGTACCTGTGACCGCCTCTCAACCAGTCTGAACAGTCAATATAAAGGTTTCTTCGGTCAGTGCGGTTTTCTGTAACGGTTTCACTGTAGTCACCCGTGACCGTTTCAAAGCCGTACCTGAGACCGTTTCTCCGTGCCGCCCACGACGCGCTCGATGGCGTACTCGAGGTCTGCTCCCTTCACTTCCTTAGCTCCGTCCCGGGCAGCCTTCAGCGCTGCCTCGTTAGCCACGTTAGCGATATCGGCGCCTGCGGGCACAGGAGTAGGCGTGTGGCGGTTGGTGTGGGGAATGCTTGAGAAGAGTTTAGTCTGATGAGTTTGATGCTAATGAGTTCTGATATTGATGGGCTGAGTGATGAGATTAGATGGGATGAGTTTTTTTTTAACGCTGAAGGTAAAATAGCGAAGAATCTAAGTTTAGACTGAAAGATAAACCCCGTTTTCAGTGGGAGTAGAATTTTGGCAGAGCATGGGTTAAGAGTATCACAAAAGTGACAAAGGAATGACATAACACATTGAGTAGCTTGTTGAAACGCATCTTCCTTGCCCTCATTTTCGCCGTACCACTAAATCCCGGTGTCAGTCGGGCCCTTCCTCCCCTCCCCTCCTCACCGCTAAATCCCGGCGTGGGGCCCTTCTCTCCTCCCTCCCCTTCCTCGCACCGCTGAATCCCGGCATCGGGCCCTTCTCTCCCCCTTTCTCTCCTCACCGCTGAATCCCGGCGTCAGTCGGGCCAGTCGCGGCGAGAAGGCGGTCACCGGACGCTCCAGCACAATCGCCTTCAGGTGGTGCTCGAAGATCTCCTGCCGCTCCGCCAGCGTCGGCAGGTCGATCAGGATGTGTCGGTCGAACCGGCCAGGCCGTAGCAGCGCCTGTGGAGACACGGCAGACACCGTTATCGCAGCTAGATGAAAGGTCCTTGAAAGCAACAGGGGGCTCTTCCCTTCCCTGGGGCAGCTAAGAAGACGTGAGTCTTCAGATCTAAGAGCTCGCAGCACGAATAAAACGGACACGCTACCGGCCCTATCTGATAGTGCAACGGGTGGAACATGGTAGTATTAAGCACGTCGTAAAAGCAGTTGACAACCTTTTAAAGAATTGCTTCTATCCAGCATGAGACAGCGGACCGTCAACTAACATCCTGGAGAGACAGCCTGGTACAGCCGGGCCCGGCTGCCGGCGCACGCACCTTGTCGAGGATGTCGGAGCGGTTGGTGGAGGCCAGAATCACCACGCCCTCCTTGGTGGCCATGCCGTCCATCTCCACCAGCAGCTGACGGATAAAATGATAGGCGGACGTCAAGATAACAACCAAACCGGACACTGCCAGCGGTGTCCGGTTTGTCCGGTTCAACAGCTGCAGCCCAGCTCCACAAGCAGCTAACACGGCAGACAAATAAACGTCGTCAATATAACCGTCAATATTACCGGCCTCTCATCGGCTAACAGACACAGTCAGTAACTTATAGACAGCTGAAGCACCCAGACTTCAAAGCTCCAATTAAGGGTGATATCCTCAGACTCCGTCTCATCATTCTTCATGCCAACAATATACTGTGTTGCGCTATCAAAACAGGTTTGCTCAGATCTTATCTAATCGTGTCCCATCTCCGCTGACCTGGTTGAGAGTCTGTCTACCCCAGTCCCTCACCTGGTTGAGAGTCTGCTCCATCTCCCCGGCTCCGCCGCTGAAGCTGCCCGCTCCCTCGGCCCTAGCTCGACCAATGGCGTCAATCTCGTCAATGTAGACGATACACGGCGCTCGCTTCCGAGCCTCCTTAAACAGGTCTCTGTGGGTGTGAAAAGGGGTCATTGGTTTATTGAAATATTTGTATGGTACTTTTGCGTCAGTGTGCTCCATGCGTATCGGTTTCCAACACTGTGTGTGTTGAAAATGTGGTGCAAGTATGACTAATTAGACAAGTTTTTAATACAATGGATGATGAAACAAAAAAAAAGTTCACTTTTATTGACTGAATGGCGAAAATGCGGTGTATATCACATTAAGTCACCCAAAAACTGGCAGAACGACACCAAAGGCAGGATGTCGAGTCCCAACGGAATACATGTTAAACTGTAACAGCCGTGTCTGTACTGACCTGACCCGGGCGGCGCCCAGTCCGCCGATCATCTCGATAAACTCGGAGCCGTTCATGGTGAGGAAGGGCACATGTCCCTCGGTGGCCACCGCTTTGGCCAGCAGCGTCTTACCGCAGCCGGGCGGACCGAGCAGCAGCGCTCCCTTCGGTACCTGAGAACGGGCGGCAATGGCGTTACAGCAGCGAGAGGGGGACGACAGCGCACTCTTCGGTACCTGAAAACGGGCATCAGGGGAAGAGTCCGGAGTCGGACAAGGGTGGAAGGCAGCTTTAGTCGCTGCTGAAAATATGACCAAACCGTTCAACATTCACAATTTACAGGGATGAGCTATAGCATTGAACAATGGTTGAGAGAAGCAAAACTTATGATTGCTGATAGGGATGCCGTAGCCATTAGCCATTTCACTGATAATGGGATGCCGTAGCCATTAGCCATTTCACTGATAATGTTTTGCGACTCGTACATAACGAGGGATGCTCGAACCCGCTGAACCACTGACCCTGGCGCCCAGACTGCGGTAGTACTCTGGCCGTTTGAGGTAGTCGACAAACTCCATCACTTCCTGTTTGGCCTCCTTGAGGCCGGCCACGTCACTGAACTTGACGCCGCGCCCCTCGCCGGCCAGAGAGTCCACGATGGTGAACTTGGCGCGCGTCAGAGAACTCTGCGGCAAACGGGACGCGTATTAGAGGGCTCTGCAGCATACGGAATGGAGGTCAGAGAGTTCTGCGGCACACGCACGCATAATTAGAGGGCTCTGTGCCAAATGACTGCTAAATAAAAGTGAACAAATGTAAATGGCGTTGCAAATTCATTGCAAACACTCAATTCAGGAGCAGTAGAAACCTTATTACAAGGCATATCGTTATATTCTTCATGTAAAATCAAACGTTTCGTCTCTGAACAAAGACATCATCAGTGAAGTTACACACAACAGTACATATTATGAGAAAATAAGCAATCAGGCTTTTAATCAGGCTTTCTTTTTTTTTGAAGAAAGAGTTTTCAAAAAGTCCTACTATGTTCCAGGTACCCAAGCTAGACAGGTACTTTGTGCTACCTTTTTTTTTGGAAAACAATCAAACAAACTAAGATCTGAGGTAGAGTCCACTCTAAAAAAGTTTTATCCCTACCTGAACCCCAAGATCATTCTCCGCAACACCCGCAGCATAGGCTCTCTTTTCTCGTTTAAAGACGTGATCCCGAAAGCATGCCGCTCTGCTATAGTTTATCAGTTCAGTTGCCCCTCGTGTGAGGGGACATACATAGGCTCGACCTATGTGCGCCTTTATAGCAGAGTGTGCCAGCATCAGGGCAAGTCGGACAGAACGGGAAATTTTCTTACCTCTCCTGTAGCCTCTTCTGTTAGAGACCATTCATTGGCATGCGACGTACCATTTTCGTTGAACGATTTTAAGATCATTGACAAAAAACGTTCAAACTTTAATTTAAGAATTCTGGAATCGCTTCACATATTCAAGTCTAGGCCTTCCATCAATGATAAGTTGTCGGCGTATAAATTAGATATCGTTACCTAGGGGTCCTTGATGAAACATGAAACGTTTATGATATGCATGATTTTATGTGCGATACTGTGTTGCTCTTGTTATGTCGCCTGATTGCTTATTTTCTCATAATATGTACTGTTGTGTGTAACTTCACTGATGATGTCTTTGTTCAGAGACGAAACGTTTGATTTTACATGAAGAATATAACGATATGCCTTGTAATAAGGTTTCTACTGCTCCTGAAGCCAACAAAAGTCAGACTTTTTGACGCAATTAAACGAGACCATGGGAACACTCAATTCACAACAGGCACACAACTACCTAGCGACGCAACACTTTCCCCTCAACTGCCCAGTCTCCCTTTACCAGTCCCCCGCTCCCTTTCCCCACTTACCAGTGCATTCATTGAGATGGGCGACTTCCCGCGGCTGGCAGAGAGTGCGTACGCCAGCAGCGATACGATAATCACGGTGGTCAATAGGCGGCCGGCGGCGTCCGAGTAGCGCTCGTAAACCACGGGGATACGGTCCTCAGGGCGAACTCCTGGGAATTTGAGAGGAGAGTCAGCCTCATGGAGTGGACAGAGGGGGATGGAAACAACGCTCCTACAATAACGGGATGCGGTCCCAGGACCCGCACTTGAGGGAAGGGGCATAGGTTTATACTCGCGGAAGGGGTAACAAGATTAAATGCACGCCAAAATCGAGTAACCTGGATATAACATGTTTGAGGGTAGAGCCGAACCTGTCATCCTCCTAAGTTGCTCCTCTCCTGGACTCTCTGACTCTCCTGGACCCATCAGCCTCTCTCCCCAGAGGACGTTTGTCGGTACACCGTTCCCCGGATATCAATTACGGCGTGCTCACCGATTTTCGTCTCGGCCTCTCGCAGCTTTTCCTCGAACTGATGCACGTCGGGCACGTTCATCTGGAACACGGTGAACTCGACGCGCCGGCCCTTGACCACGGCTCCCTCGTGCAGCACGATGGTGACCTGGTTCAGGTCGGGCCGGACGATCACCTCCTCCACCTCGCCCCGTGCCAGCATGTGGTGCACGAACTCGTTCCACGACACGAAACGGAATATCTGAAACGGAAGGATCAAACGGTCGACTCGTCATAACTCAGGGTAAGTTGGTCATAGTGTACGAATTGAAAGGCATGGTTGGCATTCGAGCGCTAATGAAAACGGCGTGGCAAACCGAAAACTAACAGCCGCGGTAACAATAACTGGAAACGATTAAGCGAAACACACATGCCTGGAGGAAAAAGGGCGCTACTTCGACCAAGAATCCCCTTCATCCGAACTTCCAAGTTGTTTCGCCCCACTAGCCATAAGCGCCTCCCCCTACTGACCTGATCGGGTCGGTTGCTACTCGGGAACAGCATAGTGAGCACGGTGATGAACCAGTAGATGATGAGCATCCAGAGGGCCGTCTTGGCCAGCTGCGTGGTCGTGTTCTCCTCGTCCGGCTTCTTCTTCTTGTCTGGGTCCTCCTCGTCGGGCGGTGGAGGCTTCTGCGGAGGGAAGAGCGAATACAATGAGGCTCGGTCACTGGTCATGCAATTGGAGGAACAAATGCTCAACAACAAATGGACATGGAATCGTGTATGCATGGCGGCTGAGGTGATCATAATGATTTTTGACAATATACCTTGTTCAGTCAAGTACCTAGTGACAGATAGTCGCATATCAAATGAACGTCGTCACAAGCGACAGCGTTGCAGCTAAAACAATCAATATTTACTACAGGAAGCCATCTGAGTGTCCACTCAGTGATGTGCCGCCACCAGTCTCCGGTCGTCCTTCTCTCACCCTGTTTGGCTGGGACCCGGACGGCGGGCGGGGTCCATCGGCAGCGGCCGCCGGTGGGGCAGTGTGCAGCCCGCGCCACTGTCCGGACACAGTGGACACACCGGACAGGCCGTCAGAGGACAGCCGGCCGGACAGCGCCGGCAGGGAGCGGGCCAGCAGCCGGCGGGCCGCCGCCAGCTCCCGTCGCACAGACCGCTCGGACACCTGTCAGACAGGCAGCCGTGGTCAGTAGCGGCAGACAATTCTGGGGCACACACTGAGAATATGTCCTATTGTTTGATCAGTAGTCAATTTGATAATATATATGCTTCCAATTCCAAATAACAAATATCCTATTTCAGATTTCAGTTTGCTTCTAAGAAGACAACCTGTCAAACTCCTCCAAATTCCTTAAACAGTTTCATAAGTCAAAGAAAAAAGACACATCAGTGGTGGAGAGCATAAGATTACCTTGCCATATCCAGGTCTGAGTCTGTTAGACAGCCTGGCACAGCCACCCAGCCTGCCTGAGTGAGCTGAGGCCAGGGAGGAAAGGTAGGCAGGACTCCGCCATATCCTGCCAACGTACAGACAGGTCCGCAGCATCTGCAAGCTCTGCTGGCTAGACAACATCAGCATCTGCAATAAATGTCAGAGGGGGCTGTACTGTCAGAAAAGGCATGTTATGTGAGAAGCAGCAAACAAACTTGTGACAATTCAGAAATATAATGTCCTATAGCCATTTACATTTGTATATTTTCATTTTCCAAAGACTGATTGGCCAAATTAAAATATTGACTATTGTTTCTGGCATTGCCAAAGACTTCCCTGGATGAAGTTCAAATATATATTTTTTTCAGAAAAATAGATAATTAACAAGATATTTACTAGGAAATTGCTTGAAATCTTGGCAAACTTAATAAATGCCTACAAGCCGTACTCTGTGGGACAGCTGAGGAGGGTCTTTTTCAGGCAACCAATGGCAAAATATTGTAAATCCAGAATCCAATGAAACCTAAATGAAATTGTGTCTAAGATTGACAGGCCTTGATGCACTTAGCTTGGTACCTATGCTGAGTCCTAGGCCCTAGGGCAATTTGAAATAATTCACGTCTGGCTCTCACTCCACTTCAAATTATCTGAACTTTAGCGAGGCTGGCTGTGGCAAATATGAGCAAAGAAATAATGGCAACTCACTGGTGGTAATTTCAAAAGGCAAGAAGAGCATATACAGCCACTGAATACATGGGATTATGGACGCCCAAATATGAATAATTCATATAAAACTTTATCGGAATTCACTGGGATTGTATTGCGTATGCAAGTCCAAATATTTCGGTAAATGTCAAGTTTACGTCCTAAGCACATTTCAATGATATTTCTTTCATAATCTTACATATTTTGACATGCTGAATCCAAAAATCATACTTACATGTCTCGCAAGAACAAAATTATCACCAATACACTAAGCAATTACACCTTCCCACAACACACGATCAAAACAAATCGAGAGGAAATTGAAAGTGTCCAGCGTTGCCATTTGTGAAAAATATTTTGTCTTTTTTTAATGTCGAGAAATAAAAACATTCAATATATTATAAAAATAGATAGGAAATATGTAAAAAATATTTATTTAAAAAGAAATATTATTATTAGAAATAGAATAGCAAAACAACAAAGGGGAAATGTTGGGAACCGGGGTTATTGGGTGGGGAGGGTTAGAAAAACAGGGAAATGTTGGGGATCGGGGTTCATGGGTGGGGGAGAGAAAAAATGAAAATGACGTCATAGGGAAATGTCGGGAACCGGGGTTTGTGGGGAGGGGATGGAGAAAAATACGATAAGAATGGTTACAATATTTGGGAAATTTTAGGAATCGGGGTTCTTGCCTCAAATCTAATTGTTACCTAACCTAACCTTACCTGACTTGACCTAACCTAACCTAACCTAACCTAACCTAACCTAACCTAACCTAACCTAACCTAACCTAACCTAACCTAACCTAACCTAACCTAACCTAACCTAACCTACTGATTTTTGCCTACCGGGGATAAGGAAAAAGTTGCTTGCAGGAATAGATTGCAGGCAAGAGTAAATCAAATATTTTTAGGTTAAGTGGTCATGCATCAGGCTTCAGGCCTTCGGCCTGAAGCCAGATACATAACCACTTAACCTAAAAATATTTGATTTACTCTTGCCTGTAATCTCTCCTAAGGCATTGCCTTCGGCACTGCGCTGCTTCGCCGCGAGAAATATTATGACGTCATTATTCACAGTTGAATAGCAACTGTTAGATATCATTCTTGATTTTGGCCAACTTTGCACAAGTAATCGCCCCCCGCCCCCAGTTCTCAGGATTTTCCTTTCCTCCCCCCCAGCCAATAACCCCGGTTCCCAACATTTCCCCTTTGTTGTTTTGCTATTCTATTTCTAATAATAATATTTCTTTTTAAATAAATATTTTTTACATATTTCCTGTTTATTTTTATAATATATTGAATGTTTTTATTTCTCGACATTAAAAAAGGACAAAATATTTTTTAACAAATGGCAAGGCTGGACACTTTCAATTTCCTCTCGATTTGTTTTGATCGTGTGTTGTGGGAAGGTGTAATTGCTTAGTGTATTGGTGATAATTTTGTTCTTGCGAGACATGTAAGTATGATTTTGGATTCAGCACGTCAAAATACGTAGGAATGTGAAACAATTATCATTGATATGTGCTTAGGACGTAAACTTGACATATACCAATATTTCGGCCAATATTGTTTGGCCTTGGTCACTGGACAACTACAATAAATAGCCTTGAATAACCCTATAAGTATAGCTCACATTGCAGCGATGTGAGCTATACTTATAGGGTTATTCAAGGCTATTTATTGTAGTTGTCCAGTGACCAAGGCCAAACAATATTGGCCGAAATATTTGGACTTGCATACGCAATACAATCCCAGTGAATTCCGATAAAGTTTTATATCATACAAACATAAACCTGGGAAAAATATGACTCTAAAACAGCACATGAATAATTCATTCCGCCAATGATGTTGACTGATTATATAAAGCAAAGGAAACTAATAATACAAGCAAAAGAGTATTCAAAAAGCATGTTTGAAGAAGGCTTGAGCACCACTTTGCTGCCAATCGCGCTGCTAATTGGTGAATTTTGCTGCCCGTCATGGTGCGTCCTGCTTTCGAATGCATTATTTTAGCAACTAAATGAATCTTTTGCGTCATCCAAGGCTTTGACTTATGAGGCCAAATCACTACCAAATGAAGGAAGTGTTGAAAATTTTCCCCTGCACCTGAAGCTTTTCTTTGCACGCAAAGAACCAGCTATTGGCGGTCAAAAAAATATCAAAATTCTTCAAGTTCTATGCATTTATATTTCAGCTATACCTGCAGTCCTACCTGCTTAGTTAACCCATTAGAGCCGAAAACTTTTTTTGTCGACTTTCACTGCGATTTTAACATATGTTTGTCAGGCACCCTTTAGGAGAATACATGTGCATTTTTAGCCAGATCACGAAACCGGAAGTGTACGTTTCCGGTCTGGCAGCTTTTGCTGCCAAGCGTATCTTACATAGTCAAAAATTGAGTGGTTTGTCACATTTCAAAGCACAAACATATCAAAACCGCGAGGAAATGATCTTTCGATACCAACAACCTTTGCCACAGAGTGTCTCCTGTTGGTGCATGTACAATTTTCACGAACTTTTTTATTAACGTACCAGATATGATCTTGAATATGTGTAATTGTTCGGATTTCCATTCGACCGTAGCCTGCAAATAACGACCGTAGCCAATAATTCTCAAGAATAATGAACTCAAAATCCAGACCTCAGCTAACAGTTCAGTTCGTTCTGAGAGATCACGTTCTTTCTCTCATTATTTCAGCTCACACGTGCTTCCCCTCCCCACAAAATCTTATATAGGATGCGACGAAGGTTTTGATGACTTCCGTCGACCGTTTATTTAAAGCAACTTGGCGTGTTTCCAATGTGCTCCTAAATATCGCGTTCCTTTCAACGAATTGTGTCCCTGAGTCTTTCTCTGAAGCGGAGATTATCTGAAAAGCTGACCTTTACCAATGGGGGTCACTGGCATGGGTAATTGTTTAACCATTGAACGGCGCATTTACTGAACGTCTAAGCATGAAGGTTTAGCTTTACAGTTGAGAGGTTCGTAGTTGCGCTGTTGGCATGCTCCAAGCTGGCAAGTGGCAACACATGGAAGGACGCTGCCTCACACTTCTAAGCCCCCGTTTTCACCAACAAGCGCTGGTGGAAGAAGTTTATGGACAAGTAGCGTCACGCATAGCCCCAATCAGCATGGTCCTCCTGCGTCTCAACCGTCGCCAAGATCGTCATGAAGAAAGCACCTGGGAAGTCTGACCGTTCTGCGGAGAATCTGAAGTCTTATTCATAATGATCACTCGGATAATGTTGTCCATTGATAAGGGAGGAATGCCCTTGGACTGAAGGCGCTTGACTATTGGTGCGGCCAAAATAACGAAAATCAGCAAGCCCAGAGCCCTCAGATTTGCACGAAACGGAGAATCTGGCCGGTAGAAGAGTGGAAACGGAGTAGGTATGTAGAAGCGGGTCTAGTTCGGCGACGAGTCTCCGTTTCAATGGATTCACCACACAGACCCCCAAAACGAGCATGGGCTGAAAACGCGGCCCAAGTTCCGACAGACTTCTGCGAAAAATTCTCGCCGCAATGGTATGTCGAACGATCACGATGTCCTAGCAGGGCCTGAGCTGAACCAGCTGGACGTGATCTAGCAAAAGACGGAGTCGATCCCGACTACTACCTAGAAAACATACTGAAAAGCGTGCATTTGGCATTATAAAGTCCACTACCCCGTGCTCCAACGGCGCATGGTGTCCCGCAGGTCGGACAGCATTTTCATGCTGGACGGTACCCCATCTCATCGATCTTCCGGAACTAGGTGGTGCCAGGACCGGCTGTCCGATATCTGGGGGAAGGACACTTGGCTAGGAACAGTCCTGGCCTAAATCCAATCGAATTATTTTGGAGGATAGTGCAGCAGGAGCTGGACATATACAAACTTTCCGGCGACCACGGACAGCTCGGAAGGGCGCTCAAGTCCCACGCGCCCCTTTTTCACATGGAGGACGTCCCTTTAATCTTAATAGGCACCCCTCTTTCCCATGTAAGCGCCCATTTGGTCATCAAAGGCGCCCCTATATGTCTCAGAGGCGCCCCTCTTTCTTGTGCAATGCGCCTCTTTTTCATATGCAATGCGCCCCTCTTTCGCATAAAGGTGCCCTATGGACATTACATGCACCCCTATGACCTTACAGGTGTCCCTCTTTCTCGTAGAGGGGCCCCATTGGGCTTCATAGGCGCCCCTCTTCGGCATGCAGGCGCCCCTCTTTCGTGCAGATGCGCCATTATGGCCATGACCTTCGTAGGCGCCCCTCTTTTGCATGGGGGCGGGAGCGGGGCGGGGGGCGGGGCGACCCCATAGTTAGGCCTCAAAGGCGCCCCAACAGGCCTAGCAGGCGCCCCTCTTCCCGTTCATCTATAGAGCCACGGCACCACCTTCCCTTAGGCGACGGCGCGCCCCTTGAGGGATGGAGCCTCTGATGACAGTTTGTCCGCACCACTCCGTTCAACGTCCCTGCTTCAGCAATGGCGGAATACATTACACGCCTGGTAGTGCGTTGGTATGCAATACTCTGCAGACAAGAATAAATAGCAGAAACCCCGGTAATGACCATTTTTGGAAAGGCAAAGAAATGGGGCATTACACTATGAGCCATAAAGCCAGACATTGTTGCTCACTCACGAATGGCATAGCAAAAAGGACGTAACTGCTCCATTTTTGACTACGTAAGATACGGTTGGCAGCTTTTGCTGCCACTTAAATATAACGCACGATTGGCGATGCTTAGAGAAATTGATGTCGCACCTAAGCTCTTCCCATTGATAATCACACATTTCTTTACAATAATCAATAATAAAAAGGTAACATTTATTCACACCACCTTCGCAACTGACTTTTTTGGTGTCCGCCGCACGACCGCAATCGCGCGCCCCTTGCACCCCCGCGATAAATTGTTTATTTCTCAGCACGTTCGCTTTCTCGATCAATAATTCGGAGCGCACATGACGTGCATTGTTTTGGTCTTCCATACGGGTGAGAAGTTTGAAAGTTCACCGCAACGTTTAGGAATGCGGCGCTATTTTGTCCTGTGGCAGCAAAAGCTGCCAAGCGTATCTAATGGGTTAAATAAACGGTCGACGGAAGTCATCAAAACCTTCGTCGCATCCTATATAAGATTTTGTGGGGAGGGGAAGCACGTGTGAGCTGAAATAATGAGAGAAAGAACGTGATCTCTCAGAACGAACTGAACTGTTAGCTGAGGTCTGGATTTTGAGTTCATTATTCTTGAGAATTATTGGCTACGGTCGTTATTTGCAGGCTACGGTCGAATGGAAATCCGAACAATTACACATATTCAAGATCATATCTGGTACGTTAATAAAAAAGTTCGTGAAAATTGTACATGCACCAACAGGAGACACTCTGTGGCAAAGGTTGTTGGTATCGAAAGATCATTTCCTCGCGGTTTTGATATGTTTGTGCTTTGAAATGTGACAAACCACTCAATTTTTGACTATGTAAGATACGCTTGGCAGCAAAAGCTGCCAGACCGGAAACGTACACTTCCGGTTTCGTGATCTGGCTAAAAATGCACATGTATTCTCCTAAAGGGTGCCTGACAAACATATGTTAAAATCGCAGTGAAAGTCGACAAAAAAAGTTTTCGGCTCTAATGGGTTAAAGCAACTTGGCGTGTTTCCAATGTGCTCCTAAATATCGCGTTCCTTTCAACGAATTGTGTCCCTGAGTCTTTCTCTGAAGCGGAGATTATCTGAAAAGCTGACCTTTACCAATGGGGGTCACTGGCATGGGTAATTGTTTAACCATTGAACGGCGCATTTACTGAACGTCTAAGCATGAAGGTTTAGCTTTACAGTTGAGAGGTTCGTAGTTGCGCTGTTGGCATGCTCCAAGCTGGCAAGTGGCAACACATGGAAGGACGCTGCCTCACACTTCTAAGCCCCCGTTTTCACCAACAAGCGCTGGTGGAAGAAGTTTATGGACAAGTAGCGTCACGCATAGCCCCAATCAGCATGGTCCTCCTGCGTCTCAACCGTCGCCAAGATCGTCATGAAGAAAGCACCTGGGAAGTCTGACCGTTCTGCGGAGAATCTGAAGTCTTATTCATAATGATCACTCGGATAATGTTGTCCATTGATAAGGGAGGAATGCCCTTGGACTGAAGGCGCTTGACTATTGGTGCGGCCAAAATAACGAAAATCAGCAAGCCCAGAGCCCTCAGATTTGCACGAAACGGAGAATCTGGCCGGTAGAAGAGTGGAAACGGAGTAGGTATGTAGAAGCGGGTCTAGTTCGGCGACGAGTCTCCGTTTCAATGGATTCACCACACAGACCCCCAAAACGAGCATGGGCTGAAAACGCGGCCCAAGTTCCGACAGACTTCTGCGAAAAATTCTCGCCGCAATGGTATGTCGAACGATCACGATGTCCTAGCAGGGCCTGAGCTGAACCAGCTGGACGTGATCTAGCAAAAGACGGAGTCGATCCCGACTACTACCTAGAAAACATACTGAAAAGCGTGCATTTGGCATTATAAAGTCCACTACCCCGTGCTCCAACGGCGCATGGTGTCCCGCAGGTCGGACAGCATTTTCATGCTGGACGGTACCCCATCTCATCGATCTTCCGGAACTAGGTGGTGCCAGGACCGGCTGTCCGATATCTGGGGGAAGGACACTTGGCTAGGAACAGTCCTGGCCTAAATCCAATCGAATTATTTTGGAGGATAGTGCAGCAGGAGCTGGACATATACAAACTTTCCGGCGACCACGGACAGCTCGGAAGGGCGCTCAAGTCCCACGCGCCCCTTTTTCACATGGAGGACGTCCCTTTAATCTTAATAGGCACCCCTCTTTCCCATGTAAGCGCCCATTTGGTCATCAAAGGCGCCCCTATATGTCTCAGAGGCGCCCCTCTTTCTTGTGCAATGCGCCTCTTTTTCATATGCAATGCGCCCCTCTTTCGCATAAAGGTGCCCTATGGACATTACATGCACCCCTATGACCTTACAGGT